TTGGGCTTTTCACATAAGGGTATGAGAAATCCTCCAAAAGATGACTGAAAACAAAAGCATTAGGTGTCATGCAGTCTTCATTTAGATTAAACAGAGACTGTCTAAAGAAATCTTAAAATATATCTTTATCTCTCCCCAGGCCTGTGAAGGCAACTGCACTACAATATCAATGTCAGATACCTTTATTCCTTCCTTCAAGCTCGAGTCCTCTACCAGAGGCCTGGGAGCTTGAGGGTCCTGTGCAGTATCTTATCTGTTCCTAGGACTGCACTCTTCTGGACTGAGATCTCAGATGTTGTTCCTGGGATCTGTTGGAGCCACTCTCCCAGTTTGGGGGTCACAGCCCCCAATGTTCCTGTTGCTATCACTTGGGATTGCTACATCTATCACTACGGCCTTCTTCTGCTGTTTGTCCACCACCACTATGTCCAGTTGGTTGGCCATTACCAGTTTGTCAGTTTGTATGTGGAAGTGCCACAGGATCTTAGCTTGGTCATTCTCAACCACCTTTGGAGGTGCATCCCATTTTTTTGACTTTGGGACTGTACTCGACACAGATGTTTCTGTACACTATGCCAGCCACTTGGTTGTGGCGTTCCATGTATGCCCTGCCTGCTAGCATCTTGCATCCTGCTGTTATGTGCTGGATTGTCTCAGGGGCATCTTTGCACTGCCTGCACCTGGGGTCCTGCCTGGTATGGTAGACCCTGGCCTCTATTGATCTTGTACTTAGAGCCTGTTCCTGTGCTGAATAGGGATAAATATGGTAGATCCCGGCACATATATAGATAAGATGGCCCTCGAGGATTGGAATTGGCCACCCCTGGTATAAAGTCTCACCCATAAATTGCATAGCGTGCAGCTCCAGCTGTGTCAATCTCAGTGACTGGGCCCCCATTTCTGGCGTTTTTTCTTGCCTCCAAAATCTGAGACAGAAGATTTCCTAAAGCTGAGAGGATGCCACTGAAAATATAAAAAAAAAACACCAACACCTCTATCATATATGAAAATGAATTCCATTCAACAGCTGATATGTGTTTGTGGCTGCTTTGAAACAAAAACAAAAATCCACTTGCACTGCTTGAACACAACGATCCTGCTAACCTAAAACAGGCCAATGAGAGGTATCTTACTTTTCTAACAAAAACAAAGTGTTTGGCACAAGGGAAAAATGAGCAACAAACTGTTTTTAGGTTTTATGAGTTTGCTGAAAACTTCACTGCATATTATAAATCAATAAACGTGCTTTACATAGTACACAGAAACCTGTCAACTGTAACACCATGGTCCAAAGATGTGTCTTGAAGCAAAGGATATAACACCCACAAATGGTGACACACAGTGTAGCATTAATGTCACCAAAACATCAGTATCACTAAAATAAATTGTAATGTCTGCAATCTTTAATATATACATTAACTAATCTGTCAAATATTTTATTTATTTTACTAGGATAGTCTACTAATTACATCCATCTATCTATCTATACATATATATATATATATATATACACAGTGGGCACGAAAAATATTCACACCCCCTTATATTTTTCTGACATTTTTGTTTTGAAGAACAAGAGTGTTTGAACAGTAAGCAGGGGGATGCACTCTACATAGAGGCATTGTTGATTTGACAATACTCCAGTATAGTGTTCGTGGATGACAGTGGAGTCTAAAGGCCAGATCCAAATGTCCATCGTGGACCCTACAAGAAGATCAGGTACTATTAACAATTCACAATATTTTTTCAAAAGTGGAAACAAAGACCAAAGAGCAGAGGCCAAATACTAGGACCAATACAATGTCAGGCATGATCATATGGTTGCTTCCTCTGTGACACCTGGCAACTAACCAAGAGAAACCACACCAGGCACATGCAGAACAGGTTGGCATTGGTATTAAGCAGGTGAATGTTTTGGTTGACAACATAACACTTTCTCTACAGCACATGATAATGCCGACAAGACTTCACAATCATTATGTCAATAAACAGTAAGAGAACATATAGTCTCATCTTTATTTTCTGTTCTAAACAGAGATTTGGATTCAGATTCCACTTAATGATGTGTTTATGAAAAAAGAAACTCTACATACACGTCTTTATTTTCCAGATGTTTCCCACTACAGCAATTCTTCTTTCATCATTACATATCAACAAGCCTTCTGGGTAATCACGTATTTTTAAGGGCATGCCGCTTGGTTTGCTTAGCACAGCAGAGTCAATATTAAAAGAGTGCAGTTTAAGCCCAAGTGTACACACAGAGCAGCCACAGAGTTAATGATTGAACAGGTTTTGGTGGGTGTCAATAAAAAAAAAAACCCTATGTGGAGATGTGTGGTCGTACAGTTGTTTACCTGGTTTAATAGAACTGATGGGATTCCACTACAAACCACAAAAGATAGTCAAACTAGCATTCCTATCCTGAGTGCTATTGCTATGAAATGTTTTTCCTTGGTATTCCTTGGACTACTCGCATGTTTAAAATGTGTTCCTCATCACAATTTAGCTGCCCATTGTAGCTTTAGGAAAAACAGCCTAACTGACAAAACAACCCAGGGAATGAGCAGAAATAAATCCTCAAAGCTGCACACACCATCTACTCTGTGTTCTGCACATAGAGAAACGTTCCTCTTTATCCAGGTACATGGTATGACTTGACAATACTGAAAAGCTGAGGAATTAAATGTTCAATGGGATTTTTCTTTTCAACAAAAGGGCAGCCCTTCACACAACCAGGGGAAGAGTTGACATTGCTGGCAAGACGCATAACTAAATTTACCTTTCCCACACAGCCAAATCAACCACACTAACACAAATACACCACAGTGTGATTAGTAAGTAAACAAAAAAGACTAAAGAACATGTTAATATTCATCTAGATCTTTGAGGAATTTTAGTGGATTTATATGGTGCACAAGAAATGATGAAAGGCTTTCTGATGAGTCAAAAGTCAAATTAAATGTATCAATATAGAATATTGTGAATTAAATAATAAATTGCTTTACTGTGTACTCCAAGTTGTGATTATGACTGGAGCCTGCCTGAGGCAAACTGAAATGACTGGACATGGTTTAGAAAGACACACATCTGTATGTATAAGGTCCCCCAATTCACAGTGTGTGTCAGGACAAAAACCAATATATGAAGTCCAACGAACTCTCTATAGAGATCCATGATTAAAGCTGTGTTGTGGAATAGATCAGGACCAGGGATAAAACCATTTCTAAAGCTTTGTATTCCCAGGAGCACAGTGGCCTCCATAACTGTGAAATGGAAGAAGTTTGAAACCACTGGGACTCTTTCTAGAGTTGGTCACTCAACCACACTGAGTAACTGGTCAAAAAGAACCTTGGTCAAGGTGGTGACCAACAACACAACAGTCACTCTAACAGAACTTCAGAAGCCCTCAGCAGAGATGGAGATTCTGCTGAGAGGACAACCATCTCGGCAGCTCTTCATCAGTCAGGCCTTTATGGTAGAGTGTCTAGACAGAAGACACTGGTGCATTTAAAGGACTCTGAGAGCATGAGGAAAAGGATTCTCTGGTCGGCTGAGACAGAAAATTAACTCTGGGCAGAACACCAAGCCTTATTCCTGGTGAACACCAACACTCATCACCAACGCTACTGGTGGCTGCATCGTCCTATGGGACAGGGAGACTGGCCAGAACTGAGAGGAGGATGAATGCAGCCAAATACAGAGAGGTCCTTGAAGAAAACCCACTGCAGAGTGTACAAGACCTGAGACTGGGGTGACAGTTCACTTTTCAGCATGACAATGACCTGAAGCACAGCCAAGACACCATTAGAGTGGCTTTGGTACAAGTCTCTCTTCTTGAGTAACCCAGCCAAAGCCCAGACTTAAACCAGGAGAGAAACCAGGAGGTGGCAGTTCACAGACATGTCCCATCCAATGTGACAGAGCTTGAGAGGATCTGTCAAGGAGAATGGGATAAACTGCCCAAATCCAGGTGTGTTAAGCTTGTAGATACTGAACTAAGCAGACATAAATAACTGCTGCCAAAGGGGCTTCTACATAGTAGTAAATTATGGGTCTGAGCACAATCATGAATGAAAGATTTTTTTTTTAATTAGCACCAAAAAAAAAAGAAGAAGTTTTCACTTTGTTGTTATAGGTTATTGTATGTAGATTTGTCTAAATACTTCCTGGAGCAACTTGAGTTACCAGATCATGTTTGCAATAAGGACACAAGGGGTTGTCGTTAGTAAGCCTAAGTACTGTACTGTTGGATTTCAGCATCTGGTTACAGTGGTGACACACAGCATCACAAACCCTGACATCATTATAAAGTGGAGCCTGAACAATAATATTTACTAATCAGTATGGGCACATACTGTATATTAGCTGTTATATAACAAAAAATGCAGGATATAATGCAAAAGATATATATACAGTACTGTAAAAACTGTGTAGTTAATTTTTTCAACTGTAATATATCCTACTCAGTACATAAAGTGTCTTGGTCACAGATAGTTAGTAAATGTCAGCTGATATACCATTAGCTGATTATTTTTTAGTCAGGACAATGACCTGGACATCCCTTGGAGTTCTTTTTTCCAGACCTGGTCTTATGAGTTCAGTTCAGTTAATCTACCTGAAGCTCCCATACTGTTGGTTCATGTGAATGAGCGCACTAGCGCCCCCTTCAGGGGACCGTGGGGTGGGGTGCAGGGATAATTGGTGGCCTATTCAAAAAACCCACACAAAACAGACTGGGCGGCTTTTCAGCTGGCAGAGAGAAAGCAAACTGGTCTGACTGGTGTGCATGCAGAATCTATATAAACACAACCTGAAATAGAAACTGAAGGACACCAAGGGCTTTTGTAGCTACACAGGTTCAAAACTCCAAACAGTAGGGGCATGTGACAGGCAGTACTTTACAGATGAATGGCACTGGAGGGGGCGTGCACGAACGTCACGAACAAATACACAAACTACAAGACAATAAAACATAAGCAAACAAAACAAAGCGCAATTACCTTTAGGGTGCAACGGTCTGGGAAAATTCAGGCCGAGGTCATCACTGAAAATGGAGATAAAATCAGAGGTCATCGCAGTCCCTCAGCGAGGAAACCGGACACCCTCAGTCTGACACAACCTGAAGTTGCCGAGCGATATTACTTTCTCTGTAACTGGCAAAACCTTAAACTTATTATCAGACCAGCGCAGTCACTAACTTAACCCAGCCGTTCTAACTGGTTTACTGCCTGCTGAGTCCCTCCTCGGTCCAGCTACGACGCACGTTTGTTGTCAGTGGACGAGCTGAGCCCCTAGCTCCGGGAGCCACGCCCACAACGATGACGCAATAGGTAAAAAAAAACACGTTGGGGTTATTAATGATTTAAAAAGAAATCATTACAATTTTACTATTAAAATTGTTTGTTTCCTTTTTTCTCTTCACTAACCACAGATTTTCTTAGGGAATATATGACCTTTGTACCGTTTGTACTAATGCATGTCCTCATTTTTATAAGCATACTTACTATTACATAAAAATGATGAAATGAAAGTCTAATTATAGTTGTCAAGTCACTTGTTATGTGCTAAATTAAATTACACATACTGTATAAACACATTAAATAGGCTACACTGTTTTACAGCTGAATCAAAAACTGTTTTATCCGAACAATCAGAATGAAGCAAACACAATGTTTTACTAGTATGGATGGATAATGATTTTAAGAAACAAAAGTAGATTGTACAAGATTTAATCACAGAAACACAAGTTTGTTTAACAAAATATATTGTAGCCTACTGTAAATACAATTCCTCGGTGGATAACATGAAGATTATAATCAGCTCCTACTTTTTCTCAGTGCTTCAGTTTCAGTACAATAGTGATAGGTCTTCAGCAAAAAGGGGTCAATATTCAGCTACAAAGCAACAACATGATGATTTGAATAAAATAAGCAAGCTATGGCAAGCAACAGCTGACACAGAGCATTCTGGAGGCCTTATAATGTTGAATGTCTGTTTAGTGCATCAGCCCTCATGAATACTTTTAGAAGATATTGTCGAGAGTTGATTATTAGAAGCAGAAGGAACACCTGGCCTCTCAGTCAGACTGTCGCTCCCTTGTTTATTAAATCTGAGTCCAAACAAACTGCAGAGTTTCATCAGCATGAGGTCCACAATCTCTTCCTCTTCTGATGGCTGTAAAACAGGAAGTAATATGTATAACTCGTTGATTATCAAGTCATCTGAGACTATGTGATGTTAAGGCCTCACTTCTTCTACAACACATTTACAATAACTTTTCAGATGGTGCTCACAGTTGCCTGCAAGGACAAACAGACACTGACATCAGCAGTATTCATTTACCTTGTGATGTATTTGCTCCTCGCTGAATGCCACCAGGATGACAGAGATGAAGAGGTTTAGCACCACAAAGGTCATGAACACAATGCAGGAACCGATGAGGAAAGCACCAAGCACTGGATTATAATTCAGAACCTGAAGGATGAGGAAGAAGAAATACACTAAAGAAGAAGTGCCAGCTGTCTTTACCTGCTGTGGTACAGTTAAAAACAGACTCATACTAACCTCTTCATAGTTAAAAATGCCAAGCTGCAGGCTGACCATGGTCAGTGTGGCATCGAGCAGAGTCCGATAGGAGTACAGCTTCCAGCCATACATCAGGTTAGACTGTAAAGAAGAAAGTTGATCTCTATGTTAATAACCACCTTTTGGATGAATTCTATTTTACAAAGACATAAATAAAGAAGGAAGGAAATGAGTGACTCCAGGAGCATGTTCATGTTATGTGTGGGAAACTCCTCACAGCAATAGAGTACGCCAGAAACATGATGGTGATGACCACCAGGAAGCCTGAAATATCATTCCAGGCTCGTTGCAGTGTGGCTGTGATCATGTGCAGCTTGGGGTTCAGTCTCAGCAGGTGCCACAGTTTGACTGTAGCTAACAATACCAGGAAGGCGATCAGATACCCCAGCACTGCATCAGCCTTGGCCGTCTCATGGAAATTGACATATCTGGAGACAAAACATGAGAACGAGCCTTGTTTTAACAACTTAATGAAGAATCCTATTTGCACAATACAGAGTTTCTGGTCAGCAATATACATATTTTCCCTTCCCTAAAGAATACAGAATTGCTATGCCCTCACAGCAGTGGCTGCCACAGTTAGAGGCATTATGTTTTAAAGTTGTCTGTCCGTCCGTCCGTCTGTACGGTCCATTCTTGTGAATGCAATATCTCAGGAATTCCTTGAAGGAATTCATTCAAATTTGGCACAAGTCTCCATGATGATTAGATTTTGGTGGAGAAAGGTCAAAGGACAATGTCACTGTGACTTGTGTTTGTTCCATTGTTTTGAACGTAATATGTCAGAAACACCTTTAGGGAATTTCTCCAAATTTGACTCAAGTGTCGACTTGGACAGTGGTTTATTGTTTATTAGAACAATTTTTTTAAAGTGTAGTTGTTTGTGTACTGGTGAAACAGAGTGGAAGGCTTTGTACTGCTGAGAGGATGTACTAGTAGTAGTACAGACAGATTGAGCAAATAAACAAAATGCATTACCTTAGTAAAACTTTCTCATACCAAGGTTAAGACAAGATCTTTGACTATATACTTGCATAGGCTGTGTTTTTCCTATTGCTTACTGGTCTCTGTTTTTCTGGTAAAAGTCCATATCCTGCTTCCCCAGTAAAGTCCTTTTGATGAAGACAGATAACGCGCTCCAGCTGAGAATGATGATGGACAACTCAAGCAGGTTCCATTTACATTTGAAATAAGCCCATTTCTGCTGCTTCATCAGCTTTCCCTGTCAGGACACAAGAGGAAGCCCATGCCAAGTGTTCAGGTAAATAACCATATGATGTATTATTACTAGCAATGGGAGTAAAGTAAGGATTATGAATATACACCTGGACAAACATGTAATAGAGGATGAAGAGGAAGTAGATGGCTTCAGAGGCCATGACAAAGATGTGTAGGCCACCGGTGGACTGGTAAAGACGTACACTCTGAAGCTCACTGTGGAACTGGAAGGCCCCTGGGAGAATCATAATGTCACAGACAACATGATTCTTATAACAACCAAGTTTCTGTGCAGCTCTCACAAAGTAGCTGAACATACCTGTGGCTGCGGTCTCCAGCATGAGTGTGACAATGCAGAAGAGGTTGACGTTGGCATTGTACACAGTGAACTCAACAAAGATTGCTTGTGTGTATACATCAAACCAGGTGTTCTCATACAAGTACTGGAGGGAACTGTAGAACATAGACACAAATAAATAATATGATTTATACATGTTATGCCTTAAAATATGACTCAGGACAAACAGTTCTTTCCTAAAGTCACAAAAAGGCCAACCCTGAATCAGCATTACTGAAGCACCACAGCAACACAACAAGAATAAGCACATAATAACACATTTATGAATTTAAATAAACTGTATTTATATGTTAAACCAAATCAATGTGAATTTTGTCATTGAATAAACTGTTGCTAAATTATGCTGTTATATTATCTCCTTATTATTGTTAGGGCTGTTGCTAACAATTGTTTCTATCACTGAATAATCTTTTGATAATTTTTTTTTTGATAATCTGATTTTAGTTTCATCTATAAAACACCACAAAATAAGGACAAATGCAAATACATTGTCTATTCTTAGAAACAGCTAACAATTATGTATTATTATTTATCTGTTTCTTCTATTAATCTGCCAAATATATGATCAAACTATTGTTTAGTTTATAAAATGTCAGCTAGTTGTCAGTTACAGCCCTATGACAAACTAAAGGAAAAACCTGACCAGACAAGTGGTGCCTTCATCCACAGGGCACAAGCAGGTCATTGAATGGTTTGATGAGTATGTGAGTCATGTGCTCTGACTTTCACAGTTACCAGATCTCAACCCAGTTGAACACCTATGGGAGGTTTTGGACTGACGTGTTAGACAGCATCTCCACCACCGTCAGCAAAACACAGTGTTCATTCCTTCAGAATAGTTCAGAGACTCAATGCCAAGGTGCACCAAAGCTATTATGGTGGCACGTGGGGGCCCAACACCTCACTAAGACACTTCATGTTGGCTTTTTCTTTCACTTGTCACTTGTCTGTAGGACAAAGTGATGCCATCCAATGTCTTATTTCTGACCAACAGTCCAAAACCCAAAGATATTCCATTTACAATCACACAAAACGAAGTAATGCAGTAAATCCTGACATCTGAAAGGTTGGAATTAGGGAATGTTTAGTATTTCTGCTTGAATCATGTTGACAATAGATTTACAGATACATAGAATTACCTACAATAAAACAATAGAAGGTTATTAAAATGATTATCAGTAACTTTCTACCAGTCAACTAACATATCCTTTCAACACTAAACATCTTTATACTTCAGATGACCTAATGTTCATAGATACCATTGATGTATTAAAATGCCTACCTTCTGGATTTTTCTAAATTTGGCCCCAGGTCCACCATAAATCCTCCTCCTCTGTAGAGCATCACACTGCCCCAGACAGGGTAGGTCCTCAGTTTACTCTGGGACTGGTACATCCATGGGCTGTGAGGGTTCAGTGAGGTGTTCACCTCACCTCCCACCGAGTGGCTCCAGCCTGGACCGTACCAGCCCATGTCCTCCATCTCCCACGAGTATGAACTATGACAGTCTTGCACAGACTGCCGCATCGAGCGGGCAACATGGCAGGAGTTTTCCTTTACCCTCACTTGGCGGAGACGTGCGTTAGCTACCAGCTTTGAGTTTCCATCTGTAATAAATCCTGTGATAGATATTAAGTTAACAAAAATAAACATGCGGTATAAAGGAAAGATCAGTAAAACTTGTCAACTGTTCTATGTCTTTTTGTAGTTTTTTTATTTGGCACATTCAGATTTCACATAAGTTTCAGCTGTGGTCATGACTGAAATTACTCCATACTCCTTTTTACACTGTTATGGCTTCATGACATGAAATATTGAAAAATACTGGATTCCATGATGCCACTGGCATCAATATACTGTTGGTACTGGGACCCACAGGAGTGGTGTCAATACATTTTAATGTGTAGTCCAACTTCTAAATTTGAATATGCTGGCATACTGCACAAAAACAAAGAGCTTTAAAATATGTATAAGGACCAAAATTACCATCAGGCAACTGAAGCCAAAACTAACAACAAGCTTATTTTAGCTATCAAATGAACTCTTAAATAAAAAAATGTGCATGTGTTTTGCTGTTTTTCATAAGCAGACAAAAATTAGCTAATTTTAAAGGGGAATCATGCAAAGCAGTTGTAAGTACAGTTAATGATTTCACAGCATATTCACCTGGATGTTCTCCAAACAGGTTGTTCAGCAGAGTTGTGTTTGACCAGTTAAACACATCCTGTATACTCATACTTTCTGAGATCCCTTTGCTGAAGCTCTGTCGAATGTGTTGGGTCAGAAAGTAAGCATTGGGGTCCCTCTGACCATATGCCACCAGGAGCAACATCCACATAAATCCAATGTAGACTGCATCACAAAAGCATTTCTTACATCAGTGTTTCAAACTGTACTATCCTGCTTCCTGTCTTGATATATTATTAAGTGGTTCTCCTACCAAGAATCTCCCTTATGAGGGCAAAGACTTTCTGCTCTTTAATCATGTTGTTTCTCATCTTCTCAATGTCAACGGGAGCTGGCGGCTGATAGAAACTGCATGTGCTGTCTCTTCTTGCTGCCCGCACTGCATCAGGATCATCTGAAGAAGTAATATTGTTCTTATGTGTTAGGGATTTTTCATACAAAGCTATTAAACAAAAACAGGAAAAGAGAAGAAACCATGCCTGGGTGTCTGAAATTCTCGTCTATCTGAGGCTCTCCAAACTCCTCCTGGTCAACTTTCTTCAGAACAAGAGCAAAGAATGCAGCAAAACCGAGAACCTGTGACAGGAGATTTTCAGACTTGAGTACCAGAGGACTTCATTAGAATCACTGTATATTCCTTTAGTGCTGGGACCTGGACCATTTTGCAAATGTTATTAAAGCAATTTATTAAATGACATTATATTAGACAATATAACTAACTGAAAAAGACTCTCAATAAATAGGCCAAATAAAAATTTATATTTAATTATTAAAATAATAAAAATTTTACAATGATTAATTTATCATTTTAAAAGTCTGCTCAAGAACTCTCCAACTAAAGCCTGCTTGTCTGCAGTGTAATATTTATAGTTCCCCCCTTATATTGTTATCATGCCTCACCTTCAGGGGCTGTGTTATAAAGAGGCTCTCAAAGAAGGAGACCCCCATGGAGATAAGCCAACTTATAGAGCGGCCTTTCCCGTAAGTCAGCCCATACATCATGGTGAAGTATCCTGACACACCGCTGGTTGCAATCACCAGTATCCAGCCAACAAACGTAAACCACCATGGCAACCCTCCTTGACAACACTTCTTGTTAGCATCCACATTGATGCTTCCCTCTGGACTGGGGCTGCGGTTGAAATGGTCTCCATCCAGGATGGACGAAGGCAGGTGGTACTCCAGAAGACCCTTCATTCCTTGAACTTGTTGCATAGCTCTGTTGTAGCTGTCTGAGTTTGGAAAACGACAAGGTCCCAACAGATCCAGCTCTTTCTCGACGTGACGCAGTTGCCTGTACAGGTACCGGCTGTTGTTGCTCTTCTTGTGAACTTCATTTGCAGTCTTCTCAGGGCTGCCCCACACACAGTCTTCTGTCCATGCAAATATCAGTATAAGTCAGCTAGGAGGTCAAATGCATTACTCTAATATTTCAACAAAGAAATCAATTTAAAGTTCTCAATCAGGAACAGAAATAAACATATTTATATTTCACCAATTCAGAGGAATTACATTTTCCATCAAGATAATTTATTTTTCAATTTTGCAGGATTTTTCCTGTGGTTGTGGCATTATTAATTTCGTTTGATTGAAAACTCTATAATCTGTAACTGACATAAAAAATCATAGTACTAAATAATCTGCAAATCAAAGATAAATGTAATTAAGTCATGAGGAAATTACTGCTGAATAACAATAAATTCAGAGAAAATAAATTTTAAGCAAACAAACAGAAGACAATGCATTATATTTACCTTTGATATGAATACATTTATTTATAAATGTGTGCATATATTTTTTAAAAAGACCATTATATTAATTTACTCATTGATTTATGTTTTTCTCCAAATGGACCAGCCAATAAAAATCTAAAATATATCAAGATCATTGTAAAGAAATGGTGGGGTTTACCTTGTAGATTGACTGAACCTAAGCTGAGGGTAATAGAGCGATCCCTTTTGAAGGCATCTGTGTAGAAGTCTCCAGCTGCTCGGTTCTGCTGTCTGATGATGTCCTCCACCAGAGACAGCAGTGTGTTGATGTCTGTCTGTTGACCAGGATGGAGCTCCAGATGTGGGAGTGGACTTTTCATAGTCTTTGAGAGTGACTGAGCAATTCTCTTTATGTCCTAATGAAGAAACATGTCAAGCTTGTCAGACACAGAGAACGAGAGGGTATTATTTTAAGTTATAATACGGATAGCTGTGACCTCACCTTGATCACAGTGTCTGGTGTGATGTCCTTCACCTCCTTCTGCGGGGAAGAAGTCTGTGAGGGAGCAACTCGACCAGTCTTCCCCTGTTTAGACGCATCTGTTTTGGCAGTTTTCTCTCGAGGACGAGTATTTCTAAAGATACTCACGATAAGGAGATTGATGGGAAACATGATGATTGAACTTTGAACTCCGATCATAACCTGTTGCCAGGTGAATTCAATGTGACCTGCAAACAAAAAGAGCGGTCCTTTCAGTTACTCTTTTAGTGGCTTTTCATTATTTTGGATACATGAATGCATATCTGCACAGAATGCACAGATACTCATCTTATAATCACCATATACACTTTCCCCGTCCCAGGTCATTGCCTTGCAAAGGTTCATTGTAAAAACCCAGTACAAATATTGTTTGCAGACATTTCAAAAGATAACCAAGTATAATCACATTGTTTCTATGTTTGTATGGGAAGAATTAAAGTTTGTTTGTGGGGGCTTTAAACAAGTGGTTTGAAAGTATTCTCTTGTGAAGTGAAATGATCATATGTCACACCTTATTGGCTTAATCAAATGCAGCCTGTACTTTCTTGAAAGCTTTGAATAATTTATACTGTGTTACCTACCGAGGTCCATGGTCTGCTCAGAGGGGTCTGTAGGGATGCCCCAAAACATGATGCTGGTCAGCATGGTGCACAGCAGAAGAGAAAAACAGCAAGACACTCGCTGGACACGTGTGAAGGTGCTACAAGGAGGCCGACTAATAACTGAGAACCAGATATGGCCATCACGGAAATCCTTGGCTGTCTTCATGAAGAACAGGTTACTGGAAGGTGTGGAAGAAACGTAGGGATTGGTTAAATGAAAGGGTACATGATATGGAATTAAGTTTAATTTCATGGCTTTAATGGATGCATGGCAGGACTCACCTAAACCTCTTCAAATCCATTTCTGTGGCTACTGGGAAAACCTTGTCAAGACTGCACTCTCCCACATCTACAGCCAGCCAGGAATTACACAGAAAATGCCATTTCTGACCAGTCTCCAGATCCTGCATCATCACTTTGTTGACATACCTGAACATAACATTACTAATTATCTGCTGTACTCATAATAACGATACAAAGTCAAGTTTAACATTAGTTATCTTTGTTGTCACAAGAGAGCCTTGTCCTCTAACTCATACCATGCAGGGTGATCTCCTGAGTTGTCATGCCACAATCTTATGCTCTGCAAATCTCCAAGAGAAAAGTGTGTGGTCAGCAGAAACATGTCCACCCCACCCCTCTCAAACACAGGCTTCTCAGGGTCTGTCAGGTGGTGGGGCTCACTTTCTCCCTCTGTACCCAGCACCATTATTGTCACCTTAGACAAAAAAAGAAAGTCAATCAAGATGGGCAGAGACTCCCAGAGGGTGTAAGAGTCATAAATGTTGTGCAACAGAAACATCTAACAGGTTTCATTTCTGTGAGTTCCTGAGTTTTAACAGACATCACTGACCTGAGCGGAGGTGGAGGCTCCATGCCGATGCCCGGTGCTGATATGCAGCATATAACGGTACTCAGCCAAGGGGTCATTATCCTCAAGCACTGTTATCTTAACCTACCAGTGAGTGAAAGAAACAGCTTTTAAGGATTTTAAAAAATCGGTGCATTAAATTACATAGCACTGATATGAGTTTTTACTTTGAAAATACTGTACTTAATTGTTCTTTCAGTTGAACTGATGGTTGTAGCCAAAACATAGAATGAACTTACACAGTTTGTTCCACTGACCCATTATAAACAAGCCAATTAGAGTCATGTTTCCATTTGATATTTCAAAGCAAGAGCTTGTAACAGGATTTTTTTCCTGTGGTGCTGATACTTTAAAGATTTCATGATATACTGTACATGTAAGCAGAACAGTCTGAATTAGACTTGCTAAATAGTCTGGCATTTCACATCAACAATACAATGTGGTAAAAGTCTTTACTGAGAATCACCTTGGCTGAGTCCTGGATGTCTTTTCTGTGTGCCCATATAACCACTAGGAGATATGCCACAAAGATGGCTCCCACAAAACACACCACCACAGGATTGTTAGTGAATGTGGCAAAAAGTTCAGCAGTGCGTGACACATCCACCAGGTTTGGCATGACAAAGAAAGAGCTGCCAAATAAGGTTAAATGGTTGCAGAAGCACTGAGTGACCAAAGATGTGGTGAGTGGACCAACCTGCAAAAAGAGAAAAACAGCTAGTGAAACTTCACAGCTCACTTTTCAAGTAAGTATTGAGGCACCCACTGGGGATGTGCGTTATTGTTTTACTCACCCTGCAGCCATCTTCACTCCAAGAAGACTCTGTTCCATTCCAGTATTTGCACTGGGCAGCAATGGTAGTGACAGTGACACTGGCATTGATGGATTTGATGCCTGGCTCTACAATAGGCTTTATAACAAGATAGTGTACTCCAGCATCCCCTGTTCTGTCTCTGGGACTCAGCACCCAGGTATATTTTTCCTCTATGTTATAATGAGAGGCACAAAAACACAAGATGCAGGCTTACACCCGTGTCTTGATTACAGACATGTTGTTAATTCACATGGTAGTTTATAGCTACACATTGGTCAGTACAGGGATTGGTTCTGAACAGTCTGTCAGCTACAATAAAGAAACCTAGTTGATTTGGTTCTACTTGCTACTTCATGTGTCAGTTGTTCCTGTGGAAATATTGTGTTGCATTTGTGGTAAACTGTAATGCATCCTGGTCATAAGATGGAGCATGTGTGCTCCTCCTGCAGTGAAACACAGCTGGGTGCTCTGCCTTAAAAAAAAAAATGTTTTGTATATTCTCCATACACTCCATATAAATGTCAGGAAAAAAGGCAGCACTCAACAGTCAATGAAGATCAAATGACACTGTAATGCATCTGTCAGACATAAACTCACCCCAAAAAGTAAATCTGATTACTTTACTTTTACCTTCTTTGGAATTCTCCAGAGGGACCAGAGTCTTTGCCACGTAATTCTCATCACTTGGGTAATCTTTACTTCCCAGGAATAGTATGAAAGAAATGTTTTCAGATGGCACCATTTTCAGCACCAGTGTTACATCCGGTGAGGGAACGTCAATTATTACTGTGCTGTAATTGGCAAGGTCAAAGACTGTGCTGTTCCCTTGGCCAATGTCAAGCCTTGGTAGGAGAATCTGAAACCCCAGAAAAACAATACAATGAACAAGCTACAATATTATCCAAAGCAAAGTAACTAAAAAGCATCTGTAAAACAAAGATTACCTCTATCTCCTCAGGTAAGTTGTGAACAGGAATGACAGTGCCATTCACTCGGGTGAGAGAGACGGATCCTACAGTTCCTGTAATGTTTTCCTCCTTCCAAGAATATGGGTTCTTCTCAAAACTCATCATCTAGAAGGAGGTCGGCATACAGTATGTTGATATACAAACTAATGCAACTAATAAAAATGCAAGTTCAAAAGACAGTAAATAGTAAACAATACTTACAATTAAATTTGAATAATTACAAGGACAGAGATCAAACCTGATTTTTTGTTGACAATTTTCTGTTGGTTTCATAGTTGTAGATAGTATCAGATTTTAACTAAATGTTGACAAAAACTGCTTCTGTCCTTTATATTCTATTTAGCATTCCTACAGTGTTGACTGAAGAGGGAGGAAGCATTAAAGGTACGTTGGCAAATTTGCAACTGATCCAAATAGACAATTCAGTATTTATGAGAAATTAACTTGTTTACTGTTGCCTTTAATTGGTCCATCATAAATGATGCACAATAAGGGAAGCCATACCTTATACTGACCAGCAGAGAGTTCTACCCAGTGGTAGAAGACGTACTAACAAACCCCTATATTTGCCTCTAAAATGTAGTGAATTCAAAGCATGAAGTAGCACAAAATGAAAATACTCAAGTAAAATACAAATACCTCAAAATTGTAATTAAGTACAGTACTTGAGTAAATACACTTTGTTACTTTCCACCACTGGTTCTACAAATATAACACACATGTAAAGGGCCATTAGCACAATATGTTGATGTGATGACTGCATTCACATTTTAAATTCACTGTGCACCTAAATCTGTCTTGTTTGCATTTCCCTTCACTGTACACACACTTACTCTCACATCCACATGTTCCTCTGGAGAAACAACATCCTCGGGGAGTCTAGGGAACGAGAATCTAGATGAGCTTTCCTTCTGTGCATTTATGTCCAGCATCTGCATAGTTTCTGGAGAGACTCTGCGGATAAAGCATTCATTAGTTTTCTGGCTTTCAGCAAATACCAGTTTATTCTTGAGTGCAAATCGGTGTTAGTTATCTCCTACCTGTTGACATATACACTGATCTGGCCAGAATCAATGATGGCAGGGTCTCCATTCAGCTTTTTATTATTCAGCAAAGCACTCTGAACATTGTTTATCCCAGTCAAAAGAAAATCTGAGACTTTTTTCTGAAGAAAACATATCTGTTTAGCAAATATCAAAATCTGAGGAAAAAATACTAAACAATTTCAGTCTCTTCGTCTTCCTTACATTTGATGAGACATTCAAAATATTACTGGCTGCTTCAACTATTGGGGTAGCTGCTACCACAACTTCTGCATCATCCTCATCATCGTGGTTAATACTAATAGTGTTGAGGGAGGAGCTGAGGTCTACCAACAATGAACTCGCTTCTTCCTGGAGAGGAAACAGAAAACAGAAAAGATCAGACTTGACTGTGTCCAAGTTTGAAAACAGCTGCTGAACATGTAACACTATTATTAATGAACTGATTTTGTTTACTTCTGAGTTTACAAAGTTTCAGGAAGGGTAGTTCTCACAAAATGTTAGCTATCAATAGCTTAAAACAATGACACAGTGGTCTTAAGATGTCATTTATACCTGCAGCATTGATGATTCTCTCCTCATCTTAATGTTAAAATCTGTTCTACCCGTAAATATTTAGACTCGAATCAACCCATATAGCATGTAATTGTATTTATGATGTAAATGTACTTATAAAATATTGTGCATATTATTTATAGTTACTGCAAATATGTATCAAGTATTGGGATGGCCTATTTACAAGCACTTCCTTTATGTATCCTGAACAAAATGAACATTTGTAGATAGCACCCAATAATTCAAAACTAGCATGAGCAGGTTTTTTGAGGATACTGCTGAACTGATCTAAAGTACTGTACAGTACTTGAGCAGCAACACTGAGCTCGTCTGAGCGCTGGGTCAGTCCAGCAACAGCTCTGGCTGTCGCTTGCACTTCCTGAGTTGAGTTAGTGGGGGAATCCAGCAGCACTGTGGTCATTTTTGTCAGCATTTGCTCTCTGAGCTAAAAGGAAAGGAAGTACTGATTAATAATGTGGTGCTTTCCACTCAACCACAATACAAGTTGTAAGCCTTGCAAGTAACACAACAGCAAACTATTAGACTCCACTGTTTCACCATCAAATGTGCTGTGTTACCTTAGTCCTGGCATCTTTCTCATCTTCATCAGTTTCTGTATTCAGCATTTCAGAAACTGAAGTAAATATTTGTCCGAGCGTCTCACCAGAAAGCAGACCTTGCTGCTCTAACTGAGTGACAGTGTCTTCCACTGCAGAGTTGAGAGCCTCCACGGAGGTACTGGAGTTGCTTTTCCGTACCTTCAGGAATATACAGTTAACCAAAAATACTGAAAGTTCTTTACATTAAGTGGAGAACCTGTAAGATACATGATAACTAGCAAACAAACCTGAGTTGTGACAGTTGAGTTGGCTTTCTCATATTCATTTTTCACAGTCACCACAACAGATAAACTGTAATCGTTGTTCTTATCACCGAGAGGCAGGAAGACAGATTTTACTTCATTTGTATTACTGCAGCGCAGATGTATGCCTTAATGAGAAATGAGACAATGTAGTAAAACTGTTGGGGTGATTTCTAAATTATATATCTGCATATAAATTGTTAAGTGGGCAAAGCATCAAAATTAATCTCAGGCACAAATATTTAGAGCAAAGGATATTTTAGCAATGGTGAACCAGATTCTCTTGACATTTTTTTTGGCTCATATACAGTATGAGGCTTCATTTAATGTGCAACAAATAGACAAAACATTATGTATCAACTGTGTAAATGAGCAAATTTGACTTTTTAAAAATTCGTCTACACTTCTGAAACAATCCAAGAACTAGGCTAACATGCTCCATGTGCATCATGTCTTAACTACGCCAACCTGTAGCCATGTCAAGCTCACCGCCTTTTAACACGTTGATCTATGTTTTCTGAATGAACTAAAGAGCAAAACATTCTTACCTGTGTTGGTTTGGAAGCAATAAAAACAGCCTGCTGAGCAGAAAGAGCTTGGTGTGCAGGTAATGTCGAATGCATCAAGAACTGTTCCTGATGGTGGAGAGATGCTACATGAGGGTGTGTGGGGGATTGGCAGTGGAAGTGTGTATCTGGCAAATCCTGGCTCTTTCTTGCCTGAAAAAAGAAAAAAAAACATACATTTTTAAATTAGTATATCAGTTTCTTTAAATGACAGTGTGTATTTAGTAGTTTTTTCATTCAAATTTAATCAGTAATCTTAATTTAATATTCATTTTTAAATTTATGCCAGACTATAGGATGAAAACACACCATAAGCAATCACGTTTATGTTGTGCAATGTGTCCCTTGAAACTTTTAGGTGTTGGCTGTGTACAACATATTCAGTGTTGCCATCCTGCTTCTCAATAAGTGGCCTCTTTCCTGCATCGGAGTAACATTCTTCAAGGTTGCCCTGGGAAAAAATTCATTGGTTAATACTTGTTTGACACATAATTCTCCCATGCCACAGTTTAAATTCAGTTAAGTGTTGTTCCAGACTCACTGTCAAAGGTCTGGGGTCTTCAATATACCAAACTACATCTGGGCAAGCTGTCACACAGCTCAGTCTTAGCTTTATGTGGTCGTTCACATTGATCGAAGAACAGTTATCACAACTGGAAAAATAAATGTAAGTATACAGTATAACTACAACTTATTCCAACACATCTAAGTCTGAGCGGAGTATTTATTTTGGCCATATTTATGCAATTATTATAAAGGGTCTGATTGTACCTGATGGTGACATCTGTGAATTCATTTGGAACAACAGTGATACATTTTGAAACTGAAGCAAGGTCAACCCATTTTCTAAACCAGGTTGTTTTCTGCACAGTTAAAGTGTATTTGAACATTTCAAAGAGATCTGGGAGGCAGTCTTTTTCAACAACATGGGTTTCATCCTTTGTTTCATTTCTGCACTTGCAGTTTCCTTCTGTATGGAAAGAAGCAGAGGCTGAAGTTTACAATAGTACTTCAATGATAAAGAGATTGCTGTTGCATTAACTTACAAATACCATGGATTTATAGAGGATGAACAAAATAACAAGAACACCACCAACTAAAACCTCAGAGACAAGCATATATTTGAATGTTTGAGTTAGTGAGTGAGTTCACATGTGCCCTAGCCCTCCTGTTATGTTGCGGGTCAAATTGACCCACGAACATAACTGCTTTAAATGAGACAAATATTTGATATGAAGAAATGAACATAACAGGAGGGAACCCTCCTGTTATGTTCATAACTCATTTAAAGCAGTTATGTTCATGGGTCACTTTGACCCGCAACATAACAGGGGGGATAATGTCCAAGCTATGATCAGGCTTTTAGAGATTCTGTATTTGTTGTTAACATGTAATGATATCCTGCCTTCAGAAATGTGGATACTGTTAGACTTGTTTTCATGTTGTTTGTTTTCACCTGCTGTAATTACTTTAGCTTAACTGCTGAAAATGCCTTTAAAATGCTCTGTGGTCAACATACAGTAATACTTACTGCATGTCCATTCAAACGCAAGTCCTTTGCTGGGTAATGACTCAGTTCCATTTACCTTCAGTGTGACACTCTGATTGTAGTCAACCAAAGTGTCTGGCGTAGCTATTATTTTCAAGCCAGTAGAGTTGTCAACACTGATGTGATCTGTCTGTAGATAAAAACAAGTAATTGAGCTGCAATAAGCTCTGATGTTGGGCAAAACATATCATCTGTTCACACATCATTATTGATTTGACACAAATTGTCTACATACCATATTTTCATGTTTGTTTGGTGAAAAGTCAGAGTAATTCTGGCAAGCCTTGAGTACGCTCTCTAAGTCCACATCCACATCAGAGGCAGAAAAGGCATTCATGGCTCGTACTCTCACTTTTAACAATCCTTTACCAAAAGAGTTTATATTTCAGCATGTTGAGCACATTTACATACAGTAGTAAAATTATTTTCATTTAATTACAGCACAGCTTAATCTTTAAGTACCTTCCAATGGACTGGAGAATGTATAAGCATGTAAACTACTATTGAGCATGTCTCTGGTCTCAAAGAAAGTGTCCTTGGTTCCTGTGAGATTGAAGAGAACGTACTCAGGAGCCCCTCGCTCTAATGAAACACCAATGACGAGATCATTGGAGTCTGGACACTTGCCCTCCTCCGATATAAGTGAGGCCTGCAGGCCCTCAACGGGCTCAAGCAGACACAGCTCCAGGTCAGTGGACACTGTGTGGGCTGTGACCTTGTTAGATGCAGTTAGAGTCAGGTTGTGGCAGCCGTGACCAAGGTTCTCCACCACACTTGCACTCAGTGTAATGTTGTGGGGTGTGATCCCTCTTTCCACTGATGAGTTTGCAACAAAACTGTCTTCCTTCTGAATTGTGTAGGAAATATCTGTACCTATTAACAACAAATAAGATAATCAAGTTATTATTATTATTCTTGTTTTAGATGTGGTTAATTAGAAGCATTTATTACCCACAGCATCATAATGACTCACCTGCCTCTACCATAACTTGAATTTGAACAGGGCTGACATAAAGTGCATTGCATTTAGTGCCATCTGTTGACACATTGCTGCTATAGCACTTGATCACAGTAATCTCTCCGACAGGCTCCTGAATGGTAATGGCTTTCTGAGCTGTAGCATGTCGGTCACTGGTATTACACTCCGCCACGACCATAAAAACACCAGGATGGCTAAATGTATGCGTCACAGTGCTCTCCATCCTGTGAAACAGGTGAGGTAAAAATCTTAAATACAGTTACATAAACACAACAAATGAATGAAAAAACATCTATCAATCAATCAGTCTATCTGTCTGTCTATCTATCTGTCTATCTGGTTGAATGTGCTGCAGAAATGTTCTCACTCTTCTGTATGGCTGAATGGATCAACAATATGACCATCTCCCATATTCAGTGTGCATGATAAGTTCCCCTGAAATGGGTGAAGAAGCCACTTCACAGAGATGGTGATATTACCATAAACAGCATCCACTGTACTCATCAATAGCTGGAATCCTGAGAGGAGACCACACTGTTAATTTGAATCTTTGAAATATTGCTTCAATAATTTCAAAATCAAACAATTATGATGGCAAAGTAGATGAAGGGTCAAGGATAAGAAAACTGGTTGAGTCACAGAACGAGGAACATAAAGCATACAGTATATGCGCACAATATAGGCTGACAACCTCAATGGCATTGTGACAACATTAAATATTGAGTTATATCATTCAATCTGTTGCACAGAGGAAATGTCTATGTATAGTAGAAAGAAAAAGGATAAAGTGTGCATCTGACCAAGTTCGCAGTGGTACTCTACAGACAGGTAACTTCCCAGTGCAGGACAAGGTTCACCGAAAGAACTCATATTCACTGGAGGCAGGCAAGTCTGCAGTCCGTGGCAGAGGGCTAAAATGACACATACAGTAAGTGCAGGACCATTTCTTGCAGATTATCGGGATTATTCTCAGTCTGAGTGAAACCTTGCAACTATTTGTCTTTTTAGGTTTAAGAACAAGACATTGTTTAATTTTCACCCTTTTAAATTTATTCTTCTAGGTGTTTCCATAATGCTCATATTTTATCCACTATCATATTTTAGCCATTATTATGTTTGCAGAATTTAATACATACTGGATCTACAATTGACATGTTATGGTAAGGAAAATATCACTAATAAAAATTCATAATACCTCTTACAGAATCTGTCACATCTACCCAGCTGCACTTCTCCGGGGAAGGTGTGGGCTCATCTGTAAGTTTGGATCGGCAGTAATGAATTGTTTTTCGACCATAGAAGCTGTCTTTAATGTGTATAACCTGATCAGGGCCACATTGCAATGTAATATTTTGGCCATCACATGCGACAGATCTTCCAGAATCTAAAAAAAATTTAAAAAATCAAGAATTATATAAGGCAAGCAAAAGCAACACAAGCTTAATGCCAAGTGCTGATTCATTTAGGAGTGCATACCGAACTGGCAGATGAAGTTGAGTTCCTGGCCACAGTTTGCTGTGGCTTCCCACTGAAAGCCTGAATGTCTCAGGATGTGTCCACAGGCTGCTTGTGAATCTGGAGTGTTCACCCAGTTACTGTAGTCGATATCTGTGCCATCCAGCCATGCAAGGGAACCTGGGGAAAAGGACAAAAATAATTTGATTAAACTTTTATTTTGATTTCTGGTATTCAAGCAATGTTACTACTATCTCTTTTTTATCTATTTTATCTTATTTTATTTTTGCAAGCTAATTGTTAAGATGCAATTTAGAAAAAAATTTGTCAACAAAGCAATAGATTTAGCCGATGACAGAGTGAATGAGTGATAAAGACAATCCTCTGTGAAGGGAAATAAAGACCCATTTGTAAATCAGGCCACTTGGCAGCAAGCCTTTTGACAAGTTCCAGTGAATCAGAAATATCTCTCATTACAGGTGCTGTTTGAGGGAGATATCCAAATGTGCCAGTAAACAAACAAATCTTTACAATGGACGTCTAAGCTGGATAATGAGATAGCAGCTGAGGTGATAATGTCTTCATTTCTTACATTAAACACTTAAAGTTGAGATCACTGGTCAGAAATATCAAATTAGTTGTTCATATACAGTATGCAGAAAAGCACTTAAATGTTAGATATTGAAAGAGTAGGTTCCACTAAAATGTATTGGGATTTATGAATAAAACTTTCCACCTGTGACAGTTTTGAACCAAGCAGAACTATATTATAGCACCCAAATACAAGTCAACGCACTACAAATCTATACAAAAGCAGTAGAGGTCTTGCAGTATCTATTTTGCCACATGCACTCTCACCCTCAGAGTCAAGCGTGAGGTTTAGAGCTGCAGGTGCTATCCCAAGCCACCAGTCCTTCTCTGGCTCCAGGTTCTTCTGAAGGAACTGCTGGGCTTCATCGTTCAGGATGAAGACTAGGTGTCCTCCATCTCGCTCACACCATTCCTGGGCATCAAGGAAGGATCGCTCCAGAGCCACAAACTCGTAACAGGAACCATTAAAACCCTGCTGGTTTTCTGGGCAGGATAGCGTCTCTGTATCCTCCACAGCATAGCAAGTCCAGCTGAGGAGGAGAACTATCAAAGTCAGTGCGGGGAAAGCACTGCACTCCATCTCTGTCTCTGCATCTGTATGCTGTTCAGACTCTCTGGAAACATGTTTTTAAAGGGTGGTGACATCAGCAACTTTGTCACTAATTAGCTCTTTAGGACACTTTGATATAAAGCTTTGTGTTGTACCTATGATTCTTGTGCACAAACAAAGCTCAGGCATGTAGTGAAAAGAGACAAGAGCCCACTGTCAACAACTACTGATTGGTCCTCCATATAGGGCTCCACAACCTGCAGGGAGAGATAAGCTTCTCATTCAGACCTGTTTGTACCATGAAAATGTCAAACTGAACTTCAAAGGAAGCAGAGGATTTAACTGTCTCATGGGCCTGATGCTATTCAGACGGACATTGAAGGTTGAGCTAAAAACATTAACATTAAAAGGCAGTAGCCATTACTTGTTATTTCAAAAATGGCGAATTCCCTGTACAGAAAGATCAACAGACATTTTCCATGGCAGAAAGTTTTACTTGTCAGGGTAGGTAAAACACAGTTGTTATTATATAATAACATTAACAATGGTTCTGCTCTATTCAGGTGTTCCAGTAAGCAATGACAGTGTGACAGTACGCAAACACCCACCATACCAGGACCCTGAAACTGAAGCAACTAAACACATTCAGCCATCATTAGTTTTATTCCTGACATGTCAATATGTCTTCTGTGCAAAATGTCTGTTTTGCATGTTGGCTCACTAGAATGGCTTACTAGTTATGACAAGTTATACTGTCTGATGTGAAAAAGATATGTTACATGTTTAACCGTTTTTAAGAATTCTCTCTTCTCTTTTGTACTTGCCGAACAGCAAATCTGGGTTGAAATGTTGTAGCCTACATTCCTCTATAATAGAGAATAAACTTAATTAGAGTGAATGCAGTATTATAGGTCTTTTGGAAAATATACTTTAGATTTAGGTTTTTAGACTTATCACCTTTGTCAGTGGTCACTATCAGAATCCATATATTATTTACATTATTAATTAGTACTTCGTAATTTCACTTAACATTCAGTATGTGACATATCAAGTATACAGCACATGCATAATTTTTTGGTTTGGGGGTCACCATTGTCATTTTTAATTTATAATTTTATTTAACAAAAATTATACATTTTTGAATCTAGTGTTTCTTCTTAGTGGTTATTATACATATACAGTATGTTATCTGCAGTGCTGGAAAGTAATTAAGTCCTAAATTTTCTCAAGTAAAAATCTGAGGTATGTTATACACTTTGCTACATTTCAGAGGAAAATATTGTACTTTTTACTCCATTACACTTATCTAACAGCTTATGTAAGATTTTACATATAAACATATGAGGAGCTTAAACATTACAATGCATTGTTGTGGATTAAACATTACAGTCAACACTCAAATTAAATCAAATGTATTTATATAGCACTTTTAAAAGCAACATCCAGTTGACCAAAGTACTTTACATGGGCAAAATAAAATCACAATAACACTGTAATCGCCTATATAAAATAAGACCTGAAATGAAATGAGTTGATTACTTGATTAGCTGATCAACAGAAAATTAAAACAATTTTAATAACTGATTGATTGATTAATATTATTTTTCATGTAAAAATGTCAAACCTATGGTTCCAGTTTCTAGGATTTACTGTGTTTCATTTTAACTTTAAAAACATTTTTTTAATAATTCAAATCATTTTCTAATAATTTTGAGGCTTAAACAACAAGCATTATGAAAATGTCAACGTGGGATAGTTCTGGAAAACTGTGTTGGCATTTCTCACTGAATTTTTACAATCCATGCAATCAATCAATCAGTCAAACAAGAAATGACTGATCCATTATCAAAATATCAATTTTCAGCCTTATATAAAATGCTTTTAAACATTAGCTGCACTTCAGCTGCATGCTCAGATATTAACTAGCTTGAGGGGCCATTTTTTCTGTGCTGTACTTTTATCTTTAATACATTTTTCTGATTATTGACTTCTTACATAGTCTCCTTTTATTTAAGTAGGCCCCAAACTCTTTAAATGTGTGACTTTATCTTGTAGTGGAGTATTCTTGTGTTGTATTCATATGTTTAGTTCTTTTTTTCTTTATTTCACATAATAAAGATCAATAGAAGGAATAATACATAGATGGGGACAACCTTTGAATAACATTAGCATGCTAGAAGGAATAGCCCCAAACACAGTAGCAAAATCTTTGGGAGTAACTGGGATCTTATAATGCCATAACAATTCCTGATAAGTAAACAGCAATCCTTGATCATTGAAAAGCTGACTTACAAGCACAATATTATTATTAAACCAATGTTCAAAAAAGTATAGATCTGTTATTATACAAAATGTATCGGTTATTCTAGATTATATATCTGTGTGGTGAAAATTTGTGCTTGTAAATCGTGGATCGGGCTACCAAGCATTGCTTATGAAAGGAGGATAGCCTTACAGGAATTTTGTCTATGCTAAAGTTATACATCAAAGGAAGTTTTAAAACCTCCAATTTAAGAAATAAATTCCAAATTGAGGTTGGGTTTTTAAGATATTTTCTCAACCAACCAATCTTAAAGGTATTGTGTGAAAATCAAGAAAGTTAAACCCTCCTTTTTCATGTAGACTTCTTTACATAATGTGTTTTGTTTTTCTACAGGAAATTAAATAGAATATCATCAACAGTTTTAGAGAGTTGGTCATTACCACGAAGAGACAATGCAGAATAAGTAAGTCCTGACAAATCTCCGGCTTTGATACTTTTAATTCAGTGAAGGATACACTTAAATAATTGACGCTGTTGTTATTCTGATGCTTTTTAAGAACCCGGATGTGTGACGTCATATCACTGGGACTAAGTAGTCTGAGGACATGGCTTGCTCAATGTGGATTTATTCTGATGCTTCCAAACACTGTCACAATTAAACCACCCTAACAAAAGACGGGCCAAAACCTCCTTAAACGTTTTAATTTTATATCAGAATAGCTTTACCTCTTTGTATTTTATATATTGTTCTTTTTCTTTTCTTTGTTCTCATTTGTTTGGTTCTGCTATCATTTTCACTTTGTTTTATTATGCCTACTTTTGTCCTGTTGTTCTCTTAATACGTGTTGCAACAATTTGTACTGAATATATTTTGTACTGATTTGCATTGTTAAATAAAAAAGGGGGGGGAATACTCTACAGCTTATTAAGAACCCGGATGTGTGACGTCATATTACTGGGACGAAGCAGTCTCAGGACATTGCTTGTTGAATGTGGATTTAATAAACGTCCCATGATTGGACAACCAATTTGTATTCGCAATGTTGGCTTGTAAACGGAGCCTGTCCAGCACCATGATGTCTGCCCTCCGGTTTCTTCGCAATAATGAAGTAACGGTAACCGTCCTTGCACTGCACCTTTGAGGGTGAATCTCTAGTGCAAGTTGGCAGCGGTTTGCTACGGTAACTTTACACCGCTCCTCGGCTTTCCCTCCTCAGGTGCAGAGATGTCTGTCTACACAAACAGAACGAGAGGTCCGCATCGCCAACATCCTGAGGGAGAAGTTTCCGTTAGCCTCTTCACTCAAAGTTGTGGATATATCAGGTAAGCGCAGATCTATCGTGTGATAGACTGCATGAAGTTGTGACCACAATCTTAAAATCCTTAATGATCATTAACGACGCTGAAACTGGGGATTGTTCTCATTATCGATTCATTTTTCGATTATTTGTGACGATTAATCGTTGGGTTTATAAAATACCAACTCAGGGTGTACATTTCCATTCCAGCTTCTGAGTCGAAGATGATGACATTACAGTAAATGTCTGTCCGATTTTTGGGATGTGGAAGCTTCAGTAAAATGAACAAATTGGCGTAGAAGAAACTGTCCTTGTGCCTAGTTGTCTTGGTGCACAGTGACCTGTAACACCATCCATAGAGGAGGAGTTAAAACAGATTGTGTCCAGGGTGTGAGGGGTCTGCAGTGATCCTCTCCACCCTCCTTTTGACCCGTGAGGTGTACAGGTCCTCCATGGAGGGCAGGCTTGCACCAATGATCTTTTCTGCAGTCCTAACTGTCCACTGGAGTCTATCCCTGTCTTGCTTGGATGCAGAGCCAAACCAGACGGTGATGGAGGTGCAGAGAACAGACTCGATGATTCCTCTGTAGAACTGTATCAGCAGCTCCTGGGGCAGGTCGAACTTCCATGGTCCTGATGTTGGACATCCACTTCAGGTCCTGGGAGATAGTGGAGCCCAGGAACTTGTAGGACTTTACTGCTGATACAGTGCTGCCAAGTATGGTGGTGGTGGTGGGGGGGGGTCATCCTGAAGTCCACTGTCATCTCCACTGTTTTGAGCGTGTTCAGCTCCAGGTTGTTGCGGCTACACCACAGGACCAGCTGCTCAACCTCCCGTCTGTAGGCTGACTCGTCACCGTCTCAGATGAGACCAATGACTGTTGTGTCATCTGCAAACTGTAGGAGGTTGACAGAGGGGTCCTTCGAGATGCAGTCGTTGATGTAGAGTGAAAATAGCAGTAAAGGGGGAGGGGAGAGCACACATCTCTGGGGGGGCGCCTGTGCTTATTGTCCAGGTGCTGGATGTGGTTTTCCCCAGCCTCACCTGCCACTTCCTCTCTGTCAGAAAGCTCGTAATCCACTGACAGGTGGGGGCAGGCACAATGAGCTGGGTCAGTTTGGAGTGGAGGATGTCTGGGATGATGGTGTTGAATGATGAGCTGAAGTCCACAAAGAGGGCCCGTGCATAGGTCCCTGGGGAGTCGAGGTGTTGCAGAATGTAATGCAGTGACATGTTCACTGCATCATCCACTGACCTGTTTGCCCGGTAGGCGAACTGCAGAGGGTCTACGATGTCCTTCAGGTGGGCCAACACCAGTCTTTCAAAGGACTTCATAACTACAGATGTCAGGGTGACAGGTCTTTAGTCATTCAGTCCACTGATGGAGGTTTTCTTGGGGACTGGGATGATGGTGGAACAGGAGGGGACTTCACACAGCTCCAGTGACCTGTTGAAGATACGTGTGAAGATGGGGGCCAGCTGATCAGCGCACACTTTCAGGCAGGAGCGGGTCACGTCATCTGGGCCTGGTGCCTTTTTGATCTTTTGTTTTTTTAAGAGTTTTTTTTTTTAAGACAGCAACATTTCTTTATTATGCTGATCTGCTGAGTAAAATCCAAATGGTAACAACATACTCTTGGGAGATAACACTGTTGTTTGTGTATTTAGGTGGTTGTGGAGCCATGTATGAGATTCATATAGAGTCCAGTGAGTTCAAAGGAAAAAGGACTGTTCAGCAACACCAACTAGTCAATCAGGTAAGCAGCATATTACCTGTATTAATAGATTAAAGCTAGGTGTGTGTCATATTGTACAGTTTTAGCATCAGTTCTGGAAATGAGTCTGTTCAGATAGAGGCCAACAGTTCTAAGAGATAGTGTCATGGGTATCAAACTTTGATACTTTTATGGCATCAGTCAAACCGATTCATTACCAGAGAGTATTGAAAAATGCTTTTCTACATTTTTAAGTAAGTGGTTGCCCGGTAAAGGACCACCATCAGTTTTTGTTCGTTGCTGTGCCTCCTGAGCACTCTCAGGAAGTGCATTCTTTCCTGTGCCCTCTTGACGGTTGCTATAGTGTTGGTTGTCTGTGCAGATTCTCAGTCATCCAGGTCATAGTAAACTGAAAAAACCTTAGAAAAAATCAACTGGACTTAGATTTCTAGATCGAAGACGTTTCACCTCTCATCCAAGAGGCTTCATCCGTTCATATCTGTCCAGAACTGATGAAGCCTCTTGGATGAGAGGTGAAACGTCTTCGATCTAGAAATCTAAGTCCAGTTGATTTTTTTTCTAAGGTTTTTTTCAGTATAGTGTTGGTTGCCCCAGTGAGGTCCTTGAAGGTCTACACCCTTTTTACACATTCACCTTATATTCAGAGAGGGACCAAATCCATGTCATGTTTCCTCCTGAAGTCAAGTATTAACTCCCTGGTCTATGTGGTGTTCAGTGTCAGGTTGTTCACAGAACACTATTTGACTGGCTCCGAATCTCGTCTCTATATGCTGACTCATCTCCCCCAGCACTGAGCCCGACGACGGTTGTGTCATCACCGTATTTGATTATGGTGTTGGATGAGTGAGCTGGTGTGCAGAGAGAGCATAGAGCTGCTGCACTCATGCACCACCATGTTGGATAAGTGTATTTGTTTTATTTATTGTATCGAACCTCATGCTTGCACTTGTGTGCTGTGGTTCATATCTGTCTGTCGGCCATGCTTATGATACATTTTTTTTAAGGTTGTCCCCTCAATTTTGATGGACGACTTTAAAAAACACTCGAAGAAATATGATCTTATTCATTAGCTGTTGCATTTTATCCTCCACAGGCACTCAAGGATGAGATTCAAGGAATGCATGGACTGCGAATATTCACTGATGTTCCAAAACACTAGAGCAAGTTCCTCCACTGTCAAGCCACAGGGCTGTATTTTGTTCTTCCCATCCATTGTGAATGTAGAGTTTTAATGGGAACGTGTGCCAGTAATTTAATAGTGAGATATCTTCTTCACTGAGATAACACATAACATCAGAATCAGCTTTCTTGGTGAGGTTTGTTGAACACATGAGGAATTTGAGTTTGGTACAGTGATGAAGGCAATGATACGCACAAAATGACTTGGTTAAATGTCAAGTCGTGTAGGTTTCTTCCCAATTCTGGGTCTTCTCAGGGTTGAAATGATGCTGATGTAATAAAAAGCAGTCCTGGAATAACACATACAAAACTATCATAAATATTGGAGAATTGCTACATTGGGAAAAATCAGTTTGTGGAACATTATTTTACTAACACTGTACTGTTCCATGTAATGTGATTGATTTTAAATTAGCTATCCATTGGATTGCACATGGACCTTGTATTTATGCTACCTATGCACTGATAATGCAAGTTTCAATAAAAAGCAGCTGCTTTAGCCCACACATTTATTTCACTGTTAACACTTGTGTTTGTTGTGAGTGTTAAAACTTGACCAGTCTGAAGTGAGATAAACTGTGTCCCCATATTTTGTTCATAGTTTATTCATCCACACAGCTTAAGTACTATAGGTCACAGATTGGAAGGTTTCTTATAAAAAAATGTGTAAGTATAAATGTTGGTTTAAAATATGCAGCATGGTCAGGCTCTGCTGAGCATGTGTGTCGTTGACAGACATTTTTAAGTCTGCAGTCTGACAAAACCATCATGTGTCTTATCTATATGTATGTATAAAATAAATACAGTTACACAGCAATGTGAAAAGATGACCTGACGGTGATGAACCCATGAATCTACAAGTTCTGCAGTAGATATTTTTAATCCCTTTCAGCTCCATGATCTTACTAACCTGCAGTAAAGGTTGGAAAATGTTGCTTAAGTAAAAGTCGGTAAGTATAATTAGTAAAGGTGTTGCTAATCAAAATACTGCAGACAAATGGTCAGTTTGACTGTCATATTAATACTGTATATAATGATAGTTGTATATTATTCATGTTTTAATGCATAAGTAGCATTTTAAATACATACATAGTATACATTTTAAATTCCAGTTCAGGGATTGAAACCAGCCAATGTTTGCTTTCATTAGAGATCATTCTGCTGATTAATTTATGGGTAGTTGGGTTTGTAAAATTATTATAGTGGTATTAAACTTTAACCTTTATTTATTCAGGGTGGGTCCACTGAGAGGCCGCCTGTTCACATTGACACCTGGAAGCGACCCAGTGCGACCACAGACTGACCTGTGTCCAGCAACTCCCCTGGAG